AAATAATGCGAGCGCCCGAATCACCTTTTGAACGTCACATGTTAAAGCGAATTTTTTTTTCGCTTATTGAATGTGTTCCTCCATTTCTGGGGCCAAAGCGCTAAAAAACGTGTCTGCGATTTGCCATATTTAATTTCAGTGAAAATGTACAGAAAATTTTCGAAATAGGATTAAAAAAATGTGGAGTGATCGTACAAAGATCGCTCTTGAAAAAAAAGTGTTTAGAAATAAAATATTCGGAGACACGCTTTTGTTGTTTATATGTAAAACTAGCTACTGTCAAAATTTGAGAGCAATCGAACAAATTCCCTTTGACTTGTAGCTCTTAAAAGGTGATCCGAGCGCTCGCTGTTTAGGAGTCGTGAAAAATTCGACAATGAATTTTTCACAAAAGTTTTGGTATAGTCCGATGGCCAGTTCTATAAGCTTTAATTTGATATAGTGGTTTAGATATCTACAGTTTAAAGCGGACGCGCTACGTACATCGCTTGCACGCGAGACACCCATTAAGGTGCACGGTAACCTTAAGTATAATAAACCTTTCAACAAATACGACAAAGCAACACGCGAAACGCTGTAAAAAAGCATGGAGATGTTGTGTAACCAACTTTCTCCTATGGATTTGATTGGCTGAGGTTATTTATCTCCTACTTTGATCGCCTTGTTTAAGGAGAAATTTCGAATTTAACATGATTAGTTAACTTGGTTAACTTCCTTACTACTTTAGTAATACGATTTATTATATAGTTTGCAACGCCCGCGGGCATGATGGAGCAAATCCTGTATTCTGATTGCCTACCCCAGCGGTCAAGATGGGCCCGTCTTGACCACTCGGGATTCCTGCTTTGATCTTGCGCAATTTTGGATCTTAACCTCGTTCTTTTTTCTACGTTTTTATGGACTTCGACCATAACAACTAAATTACTATTATTACCCAACTACACTCCGTAGAGCGCATATAGCACCTAAGACGAGTGCAAATATCACGCGGTATTTGTATTCCATAGAACCGGTTAGACAGGTTTTCCCGCGCAAGCGAAGAATTGGATTGAAGTTCCAAAAAAATTGGCGTACAGTTAAAATAATTTTTCTGACGACGAAGAGTTGGAATGGCTAGCAAATATTGATCCAAGTTTATCAGATAAATCGAACGAAGAAAGCAGTTAGACGACAATGAAATTTCATTATTTACTGAAGAAAATAGAAATAGCAACACGACAACGCGTCAATTCCGTTCCGTTTCGCATACTTCTGTCACGCACTCCTCTTAAATAAACATCCGTGAAATTGGCCCTCACTCAATTAACAATTTGGCGTGTTGAATAATAAATAACTTACTAAACGTTTTGGTGTGTCGTATCTCGGATTATTTTTAATCATCGTTGTTTGTATATTATTCATATTATTTTCGTCAAAATACGGCACAAATCGAAAAAATACTCAGCTATGCTACACANTATCGTCTAGCGGTGCCTGGTGGCCCCTGGCGCCTTACTTTTGCTCTTGGGCGACTCGAGAATTTAAGTTTTTTCATACAAAGCATATGCTGGGCACTCTGGATTTCATAGTTTCAGACCACTGGGCTCCATTCAATTTTCCTTCGAGCACAGCCTTGGCTTGCTTTTGGACTTAAAATGGGGGATTTGAAAAAAAAAAAAAAGTTTAGCCATACATTTATGATGCTTTGAGTTTGACCCAAGTGCAGTTATTTCTTAGAAAAATGTGACTTGAAATCACCATGTGTTGTGTTTCTTCACTTTAATTTGTACCTGATAAAACTTGTGGGTGTCTCTGTCCTATTTATCTCTAGGTTGAGCCCTTTCAGGTTTCAGTTTGTACTTGCAGTGGCTATATTGTTACCCATTAGAAACTGTTTTCTATGCATCTAAACCCAATTGTTTGTAATGTATCTTTGACTGAGTGATCCACCTAACACACATAAAAGAAAACATTCTTTCGCACCAATTTAATTTTGATGTGCTATCCACAGTGTTATCTAACCTACATTGTAACTATGGTGTCAGGAGATGCCCCAATGTTGAATTTTTTTTCCTCATGAATAATAGTTTTTTAATGTCTTTTATTATACAGGGTGTGACACCTAATGTTTGGGGAAATGGATCAGCATGGGGTCTGTACTTTTTCAGGTAAATATCGTATCCAAGCAAACTTTTAGAAACTCACTTTACTCTCAAAATCTTAAGAGTATTAATATTATAAAATTTACTCAGCTATTGTTTTCTTTCTATTGTATAGCTCAAATTTGAATGTTAAAATTTTTTTGTTTTTGTTTTTTTTTTTTTTGTCATAGCTACAACATTTTAAAAGCGTGGATGCAGAAAGACAGTGATGAGCCTTTAGGGGCTGAGAAGCATCTGATCGCAGGAACTGTGGCAGGTGAGTATTTCTATTGTTTCAGTTAGAGCCACAGACAACTCCAGTCATAGCAGACACTTTGTGGTCTGCCATTTTTTCTTTAAAGTAGTGTGAGTCTGTTGAAGCAGCATGTAATGATAAACGACCTGCTATTTGATTTAAACTCGTGTAGCAGTACTTTCTCTCACCACTGGGCCAAGGATTGGCATTTGTATTCTGTTTAAAAATGAAATTTGCAGTCAGGATAGTCTCCATGTACTTTGATAAAGTGCAAGGGATTGTTCACCCAGACTCCAGAAAAAAGGACGATCAGCAAAAAGAGAAAAAGAGAAAAGAAGTCACAGTTCTCCCAGGTGTGGAGAGGGACTTGGAAAATCTCTTACGAATACTGCTATTAGCTTTATGTAGAAAACTAAGTAGTAAAACAGCTTTACAAGGAAAGCGTAGCAGCTAGAGGGAGAATTAACAAATCAGATCTATGGAGATAATGGGTTAAAGGAAATTGGGGAGAATGACTGTCTGTTGTCAGTGTGTCTGATTTCACCCTGCCTGAGCATTTACCCTACTACCTGTTTTACAGTGAAGGAATTTACATTTGTTCTCCTGTCAGTTCACCCTTCATTACTTTCATTTCAGAATCATTGGGATCCTTGTAATCTGATTGGCTCTCTTTGCTGCGATTTATTCACAAATTGCACCAATTTTTGCTCTATTATATGATTTTCATATATTCATAGTCATTGATTTTGTGTTCTAAATCGCATCTTTTTCCCAGCGAATGAGAAAACTTGTTTAAAGAAACCAATCAAATTGCAGGAAAATGAAAAACAAGTTTTGCAACTCTCTTCAAACAAGCTCACCTCTGGATCAATAAAACATTTGTACAGAATAAAACATCCTGTATCTGAGTGACTAAGAAGGTAGTTGTTATCAGTACATGTATCTGACACTAATTTCTCAAAAGAACAAGGACATTTTTTTAGCAGCTTGATGCTGGAGAACCAACAGTTAGATCCTGGGACTAAAAGGGTCAATGAGTCGATCCGATATTGGTATCAAAGCTCCTAAAGATCATGATTAATAAATATTAACTAATTTGATTAATCAAATTTAAATTAATTAATTTAATTAAATATTATGAATATTAACTGAAAACTTGTTCGTAACTTGTACATTGTGTACACTATTTGCACTCAGTCAGCTTTATGGCTGATGGAATGTGTTCTTTTTATCACTAGGAATTGGCACTTTGTCAGTAACAAACCCAATATGGGTGGTCAAAACTCGCTTATGTCTTCAGTACTCTGATCCCCTTGCTGGAAAAACACAAACACCGCAGTACAAAGGAGTGTTTGGTGAGAAACTTGTTTGTAAAGATGAATGTCATTTAGTGTTAAGAATTACATATTTTTACGGTAACCTCAGAAAAAGAAAAGGAAAGTTAAATCTTTACATCCTAACATCAACTTGCATTTTCTCCATTCTGTTCAACATGCATTTTCTCCATTCTGTTCAACATGCATTTTCTCCATTCTGTTCAACATGCATTTTCTCCATTCTGTTCAACATGTATTTTCTCCATTCTGTTCTTTATGCATTTCCTATATTGCTGAGAGGGAGAAAGTAGCTTTTAATCAAGAGCTTTTAAAGTTTACAATCATTTCTTTAGTTTTTTTTCAAGAGCCTAATGTTTGATTGAGCAGTGATAGCTTGTGGGGAAATTAAATATTTAATTCACCCTCAGAGGCTTAAGGTTTCGTGCTAAGGGAATTCAAGGCTTTTCTCGATCACAATTTCAAAGTTGGGAATTGAGCTTGAGTCTGAAAGTGGTGGTTCACGTAATTATGCCCACCAATGCCCCACTAATCAAATCAGATGCATCACATATTTTGGTACAGGTAAAGAATCTGAGCCTACGGACGCGTCCGCCAACGCGTCGGCCGACAGTCGACCAACAGTCAGCCGCCTGTCGACCGACGCGTTGACCACCGCTTATCCATATAACGTACAAGTTTAACGTCGGTGGTGTGTTGGTGGTGCGTCATATTTTGTACTCCTTATTCTCCACAGACGCTCTGTTGAAGTTGTGGAGACACGAGGGGTTGAGAGGTTTATACAAGGTAATTTTGATATGTATGTGTTGACGGCTGTTTGATTGATTGAATTCAAAATTGAGGGTTGACCAATACAACGGATCGTTACGAGTCGTCTAATGTATTAAAGGGTACACTTCGAGCGATGCTTTCAGAATGACAAACACACCTTTTATATGTGCACTTCGCGCAGCGCGTTGTAGTAGAACAATGAATAAACTTGTTGTTTGTGCAATTCGCGTGGTGCTTTTTTTAGTAGGACAAAGAATGCTCTTGTTATTTGTGCACCTCGTGCAGTGCTTTTAGAACATGGGATACTCTTTTTATCTGTGCACTTTGAGGGGCGCTTTTTATCTGTACGAGTATCATCTTGTTTGTGCACTTCGCGCGGTGCGTTTAGAACAAAGAGTACTCTTGTTGTTGGTATACTTTGCGCGATACTTTAACTACGAAGAATACTCTAGTTATTTGGGCGCGTTATGCGTGATCCGCTCAAATCGTACAAGTCGACACACTAAGTCATCGTCAGAGAGACTTCAAGTCAGATTTCACGGATAGACTGGAAAACCGTAAGACTCTTGATTACATTAGACGATCCGTACGAGTCGTAAGACTTGTGAGTACATTAGACGACTTGTATGGGTCGTACGACTCGTGAAAATGTTGGACGATTCGTACGGATCGTACAACTCGTGAATGCATCAGACGATCCGTTATAAGCCGTAGTATTGGACATGCCTGGAGGTTGCCTGTTGGTTTTACCACTTGGTTTTTGCCGCTTGGTTTTCGCTAAGTTGTTTGTTTGCCACAAAAAAAGGAAGTAGGGAAGAAAGGAAGGAATGGAGAAAATGGAGGGGAAAAATCAAAGAAGAGCAGAAACATTAGCATTAATCTAAGAATCAGTGGGCGTGCAAAGCTTTCTTTGGCTTTCCAGACTCCACCAGCAGGGCATAGCTTACATAATGACTTTAAATTCCCACTTGAAAAGAGCTACATGTGGTGGCACAAATATATAGCACACCTATGGTACATGACTGCTAATGGCAAAGTGATGATACAGTTAGTGGTATGTTATGCATTATATATGCAGCAATCAAATTAGCAGCCATAGTTTCCCTAATTGAAAGAAGGGAATTGTTATTTAAAAGAGAGTTTACTGTTTGGATGTAACATCATTTTGCTCGTATTGATAATTTTTTCTTTTCACTTGACCAGGGCTATGTTCCAGGCCTTTTTGGCGTGTCACACGGAGCGCTGCAATTCATGGCCTATGAAGAACTGAAGAAAGGCTACAGTCGATATTTTGGAACACCAATCAACAAGAAGCTGGTAAAAAAATTGGTTGCACATACCTGTATGACCCCTGTATACTTTAATGTGTACCTCTTCATTCAAATATACCTCTTCAAGCTCAGATATTCGACCAAGTTAGCAAACTAAGACTTTAAAGGACCCTAGTCAACCAACCAAGACCTTAAAGGACCCTAGTCAACCACGAAATATTGTGCGTTTAGTCCGCCATTTTCTGTGCCTCCTAAATTTGTGAAGTTCCCTTTGTGGTCTATCATCTAAGTGCATCCGAGCGAGTTAAATATATTGAAGTCATAACTTGTCGTTGTAGTCTTCTGAAATTATCAATCGTTTATTTGGAGTATTGATTTTAGTGGTTTCTCGCAATTTTCCCGAGAACTTTTTCTTTGTAACTAGGACCGACGATGGCATCTCTTAACGATTCTAACCATTCGCAGGCGATTTTCAACTTCTACCCTCGGAGATTAATTCTGGGAACATATTTGACTTTTCTTTGCGTTTTAATTAATTGCGTTGGTTTTACCCGTCAGTAATTTGTTGAGGTTAGGTAAAGTAGGATAATATTGCGTTACAAAAGGCAATATTTTCTGCTTTGTGCTATTTTCCTTCTTTTGAAATGACCTTTCCGTACCGAAGCTCTACCGGATAACTCCAGAGATGTATTTCTCCAGAAGCGTAATTTAAAACTCTGTACGTTTTTGTTAAACATTGGGCGCGATGGATTTGTTCTTAGGGTCGTAACGCTTCCTTTTTTACGGATCATTTCTTTACGTCTGTTAAAATGTGTTGTCGGGCCAGCACGACTCCTGCCAGCCGTTGAGTGTTATATGAACGATTTTCTCTGCCTTATGTAAATAGAAACAGAGGCGTGGTTGACCAGGATCCTGTAACAGTGGAGAAAATGTTAAGTGTGGCATATTTTACCAGTGTGGTGACACTGTTTTACTCATAACCTCTCTCCACCAATACGAAAACATTTTAAAGGCCACTCCTGAATGCATGGGAAGGCGCGGGAAGCCTGGGGCCATCTATCCTTGGGTAGTCATCCACTATGACGAGCGTCAGCATTTTGATACAACAACTTATGCCAATTGACACCCTTGTATAGCTGGTTGTTAATCCGATGTGGTCACATAGCTATTACTCCTTAATTCTTTTAAAACTGTCCAATTGAGGATTTATTTGGATACAGTGGAATCCCGATTTCTCGAACCTCCAGGGGAAACGTAAATTGGTTCGAGAAATCGGGAGTTCGAGAAATCGGGAGTTCGAGAAATCGGGGGTGAAATTACAAGGGAAGCAAATCCAAGGGAAACAAGGTTTGGTTCGAGAGATCGGGAGGTTCGAGAAACCGAGGGTTCGAGAAATCGGGATTCCACTGTAGTTTCAAACTATCCAAATTAATTCTTATTTGGGCAGCTTATGAATTTATGCTTCGTATTTTGCTTGAAAAATGTCATCAAAACTTGAAATAAACACTTTGAACAACAAATTAAAAAGACATTTGAAATCCTTCTATTTACCGTGGTTATCAACAGCAAATATTCCAAAGAAAATCAAGTTAGATAAAGAACTGGAATACATTCTACAGCTTGAAAGCAGCACAGAGAGTATACTGAAACACTTACTTAGGAGGCGAAACTTAAACATCTATCATTGTAGCATAACTTAACTTCTGCACTAGTTCTAGATGCCAGTGCCTTTATTTTTTATTACCAATAAATGGTCTGTGACTTCCATTTTATCTTAGGGCTCGAGCGAGTACCTTGTAATGGCTTCCTTGTCTAAAATTTTTGCCGCTACAGCGACATATCCTTATCAAGTGGTTAGAGCAAGACTTCAGGTGAGGACGGGAGATTAATTTGTACTTGATACGTTTGTAAACTTTATGAAATATATTTTATTTTGGTTTTATGTGCCATTATTCTGGAAAAAAGCATTTAGTCTAATTCTTAGCAGCTTCCTTTAGTTTTCAGCCTGATGGTGGTGTAGCGGTCGAAATTAGTTAGTTTGCTGGACTCTGTGTTGATTTGGCGTGGGTTCTAGCCTGGGTTTGCCAGGCAGAGGGGAGGGGGGGTAATGACTTCGATGAGTATCACATCCCATACATAGCGAGAAGCTTTTACCCCCTTTCAATCTTTCTCTGCCTCTCAAGAAACATGAATCCAAGATGGCTGTAAGAATGCAAGGTGCGAAAGTATTTAACCCCCCCTCCACCCTTAAAGTTAGCCAAAAAGCAAGTAAATCTTTCCTTTGACAGTCGCTTCGCAAGTATCTTGCTTAATAGTGCTGTATTTACTGTTTCGTAACTTGATGATTGTTAACTTTTTTTTTACCTTGCTAAAGAATCAGTACACAATGGTGGAATATAAAGGCGCGTTGGATGTGATTACTAAAACTTTCAGGTCAGTTGGAACTCGATGCGAGTGCTTAAATGTTTAACACGTAAACTAGCATTCCTTATCTAGTTTCGAACTAGGAAGAACTTGTGGTGGTTTTGGCCAAGTTACCTGCTTACAAGGGTTACATTTGTGCAGACTTAATGTCAGGTGTATTAAAGTTAATGACTTTTCAGCCTAGGGTAAGGTCGCCTAATTTTCACCAGTAGGGCTCAAAGGAAAGTTAAAGTTTATCTTTAGCCATTATATCAAGTCCTTACTTCAACGATAACCGTTACGTTTCGAACGAAAAGCATGCGGTGGAAATTTAAAGGGAATTCTAGGGTATTTCCATCTCGTCTGTTTGAGAGATGGAGAGAAGTCTTTAATAGCGAAACCTCAAATTCCTCCCATTTACCTTTTAACGCCCAAGATCTGATTATGAATTCTCCCCTCAAGTTGCTACACGTGTCCTTGTACATTAGTTACAAGAATTTGGTGTTAGATCAAGATAATAACTTCCACTTGATGAGTTTGAGTATTCTCATTACCTGTTCGCTGGACAGTGTATGGATATTATTGGGAGAAGTTACGTGTTAATTATTATCCAACTACGCTCCGTAGAGTACGAATAACGCCCAAGACGAGTACAGATATCACACGGTATTTGTATTCTAGGGAACCGGTTATACATGTTTTGTCGCATCGCGCAAGCGACGGATTGGATTGAGGTTATAAAAAAAATGGCGGACAGTGTAAATTATTTTTCTGACGACGAAGAATCGGAATGGCTGGCGAACAAAGAAAAGCAGTTAAACGGCAATGAAATTTCATCAGAAGAAAATAGAAACAGCAACGCGACAACGCGTCAATTCCGTTCCACTTCACATACTTCTGTCACGCACTCCCCGTAAATAAATATCCGCTAAATTCGCCCGCACTGAAATAACAATTTGGTGTATTGGATAAAAAATAACTTATTAAACGCTTTGTTGTGTTGTATCACTGAATATTTTACTTGTTATCTGTATTTTGACTCGCCCTTCGGCCTCGTCAAAATACGGTACAACTCGTAAAAATACTCAGCGATGCAACACAACAAAACGTCTCATAAGATATATTTACTACTGGTAGTTAAAGGGTTAAAATAGATGGAGGTACATCTATAGCTTCTTTGAAACAGTTTGCACAAGAGTCTATTCGACGGAGAACTGTACTAAACTCACAGAGAACTGAGTCGAGCTCAATGGAGAACTAGGCCCAGTTTTCCAATTTTTACTAAAAAGTTCCCTTAACGGCTACGGGAACAAATCTACAATTGTGGACGGAAGTTATGCTGATTCGTGCCTATGTAATGAAACTTTACTTGAATTTGAAGGCTACAGATGCACAGATAACCGTTTTATTGTTCTGCACTGATTGCCAATGGTAACATGGGCAGCAATCAAACTACAAAGTAAATGAATGAATTGCGTTTTGAATATGAAGTTACACTTGAAGGGTTGAAATATTTGAAGAGAAATGTTACCTCAATTATGTTGGGTAATCCATACATCTTTACACGGCTCTTTACATGTTCCTTTAGCGGATGTGTTCGTTCGATTGTTTGACAAGTATTTTAATTCGTTGCGCCAATTTAAATAGAAAAAAGCTAATTCGACCTCAGATTCTTTGCGGCTGCATGTTGGCCCCAAAACGGAACAGCTACACGAAAAGTTATTTTCTTGAAGTATAAGTTGAATTTCTTAGTGCACTAAGCGCAAATCATATCCATTTTCATTGGCATAAGATACTGTAGTCTGCTATTAGGCATTTTGCTATGTATCTGGCCACTTCTCACTGTGGGTTATATTCAAATTCTTAGGGGCGAAGGAGTGAGAGGATTTTACAAAGGATTGATTCCCAGTGTCCTCAGGTAAGGTTAAATAAGATGGATAATTTTAGTGATACATGTTTGTTTGATGATAGGTGTTGTACCGAAATCTCTGTGAATACGATCATCGTAGATTTGACGGCATTTTGTTTTTGTTTTTTAGAGTAACGCCAGCATGTGCACTCACATTCGTGGTGTACGAAAACGTGATTCACTTCCTGATGCCAAACAGATGACTTTGAGTGGAGAGATACTGCAGTCAAACTAAATTAGAACGGAGCTCGCAGCGCGCTATTACACGTAGTCATTACACGAAATAGTACAATGGAAGACGATGAACAGAATTGCAGCTCATGGATTCATTAGCAGGTTTTATTTGGCAACAGCGCGGACTGTTCCGTTTATGAAAAAAAAAAAGAAAAAGAAAAAAAAGAAAAAGAAACCCATGTTAACCTTACGAAGTTAACAGCAAAGTGCATTTATATTACACTTCAGAGGCTTGCCAATATAAACTTTTTTCGGGGCATTTTAAGAGGTATCCCATCACGTTTCTTACTGTTTCAGTAGCTCCTTAAGAAAACAATGATCTCTCCCATTGTTCTTTCTTGGGAACTCACCAACAAATACCAAGACTACAAGAGATGCCCTTTTATTTATTTTGTTTTTTATTTACTAAGTCATATATGGCAATTGAGTTCTAGCATTACCTGTTTGAACCTTCTTGCAAATCAATAAAAAAAAAAGATGCATGGTATCGAGTTATTTGTGACAGTGTAGACAAAGATTAACTTCACCCGTAAAAAAAATCTCATTTGAAGTGTCAAGACTTGTTTATCACTTATTTTCCTTTGTCTAATCTAGATTTGATGATCTTTTTATACAAAGATTTCTCCATTAGCTGCGGAAGCTTTAAGATGTAAACATAGCAGATCTTCCATCGATGGCTCTATATTCATAGTGCTGGGTTCTGAATTCATTAATTTTTCGGACTGACTTTCTGAACTTTCCTTCTTCTTGTTATTGTTCTATGTTTAATTATTTTGATTTCACTGCCCTTAATATTTACTTTCGTGTTACGACACTAAGCAGAAAATGTCTCGGGTAAAGTAAATGTATTAATTAAGAATTACGCAATTGTTATTAACTAATCAGACTATACACACGATGCCCATCTATTTACGCCACTTTCAAACCGGATCCTGTAAATGACTCGGCTGGTATCACTCTCCTTGAAAAGACCACCAACGATTTTTGATATTTGGATACGTTGTTACTGAACTCACCCGTGCTTTGCCCCATTTGCTTTGTGTTCAGTTCTCTTATCGTAAATGAGAGACAAATCAAGATCAAATGATTCGGAGATTGAAATATCAGGCAGTGGCCATTGGAGGGTCCTTTCCTTCGCCTTATTTATTCTTGCCAAAGGATTCCACCGTCGACGTGTCATATTTTGGTTTTTACATAGAAAATTGAAAACTTAACACTGTGAAGCTGTGATTTTGAGTTAAAATCCCGAATATTCCTTAATAAAAATTGCAAGTGATTTACTTACAATGGTGTAACTCACGTCTACGTATACTCTAGAGAAATTCATTACTTGACGAGGGAATTCCGCATTAAATTGCAAGTGAAAACCGATATCGCACGAATCGGATTTTACTTGAGTCGCATAATTCAATAAAAATAGGAAAGAAAAAAAAGAAAATATTACTTGTATTTGTTATATATTGTAGACGCGACAAAAAAACCCCTTATCCTCATTTTCAACTCGCACTTCCACACTAAATACCTCGCTTCGTTAAACAACCAGAGTGCGAGATTTCACTAAATGAAACGATTCTACTCTAAATTCTTCTCTTTAACTCATGGCACCTATAAATAATACTCATTTTTGCGTGTTTATGTTATACGCAAACGTTAACCTTGGAAAAGTAGGTCAACCTTTGTTAGCTACGAGCAGTGTTAAAACTAACTAGAAGCGAAAACTGTTTTAACATACCTCATCTTGAGTGAATGAAGTGTCCATATGTTTAGTGACATAGGCTGTATAAGGATGCTTTGTGACCATTGCGTTAAGGTCCTTTCTTTAATTTAGAATCAGAAGGGGATATAAGCGATTCAGTACGACTGAATCCTGTTCGATTCCGACAAATTTGACACACGGCCACAATCGGGTATACCATTGAATTTAGCTTACTGTTTGTCTGGAAACTTGTTCAACGTTTCAAAATACTGAGTCACAATTACTACATCAAATTTGCGAAATCTCCCAAGTTATTAATTTTAACCGTAACCAAATTAATTTTTTTTTCTATGCTTGATAAGGTGACATAAGCCTACTGGCTGTCCACTGGCCTAATCTTAAATAACCATGGTACATAACAACAGCAACAGAAGTACAAAAAGAAAAAACAACAGCGACAACAAAAAAGAAACGATAAAAAAAAAAAAAGAAAAAAAAAAACCATAGAAAGCTTGAATACCATTGGCTATCCTCAGGATTGTTTTAAAATTAAATAAATGAATTACCTATTTGAAACGTGGTTAGCCTGTTATTATAATCGTATTTCAAAATACCATGTGCACATGTACCCACGGATTGATTTATGAATAATAATTGCTTTACTTTTCAGTCTGTACCACAATAGCCCGAGTTACAACTTGGTGGCTGATTAAGTTGGTAGCAAGAGCCATAATTGGGCTCTTGGTTGGTAGATATAGAAAGATCCACAGTTTTTCACGTATATCTGTTTTGATCCCTTGCAACCGGTGTTACGATCACTAAAGCAAACCGTTCTGTGAACTTCTTCTTCCACTGTAGGATGAGCACCATTCAACCAGCCTGACCAGTCAGTACCACATCTATATGCTGGCACACGCCTTGTTGGCATTTTTGTTCCCGCTGCTCCCACAAACCGATACCATCCTTCAGTGAGTTGGTCGTCACACCGTATTGGGAAAATGTGTGTTTCCTAACTACTCTTTCTATTAGCATGACTCAGGTTTTGATAATTATAGCATGGGTCGTCTATAAAATTAAATGAACATCATAAAATAATTTTCTTAATATTTTTCAAGTCAATCAGTTCACTACTCTCAAAAAAGAAACAACAACTTTGAGCTTAAATTTACAAGACATGTTTCGACATTCTCATGTCATCTTCAGTTGCAAATGAGCTATTAACGGTTGTACATTTGAATTTATGTTAAGGTACGTTACAAATTACGTGTCAGCGCTTACGTTACATTTGAATGTTAAAAACGCGAAAAATGTAAATAGCGCGCGCTTGACTAGATAAAATAAATAAATAAATAAAATAATAATAATAAATTAAAAGACCAAGGAACAACATAATTAGAAAGAAAGAGACAATTCTAGATGTTTCAATTGCTGATTAAGAATGGGTTTTTCCCTCTTAATATGCAATGCCTCTTTGATCTTAATTTGGTATTTTGAAGAGGCAGAATCTAAGATCGTGAAACATTCTGTATCACAAGAGTCAAGACAGGCCCTTGATGATTGCAGGTGCTTGAGTTTGTTTGATTATTGAACAATCAGAATGTCTGGTTTGTTACTTTCTTTTGACTGAATTATATATAGTAGTAGTCTTTATTTCCTCACAAGATAAAAAATACATATCTTATGTTACAATATTTGAGTAAAAAGTATATATATCTAAATTATAACTCACATAGCTAAGTTGTATTTAAAAATTAAGCGATTAATGAAAGAGTTCTTGATTAATGAAAGAGTTCTTGTGTTGAACCTTACTGCCATAAACCAATCTGTTGTGTATTCCGAATAAAAGGCCAGGAACACGGTAACCAGATCAAGATGGCGGAAGAACTGTTTTTAATCCAAAGCAGAAAACCTCGTGTACAATACGAAATATGAAAAACAGGTCTCGTGACACTAGCTTCTATGTAGAACAGGGAAACCAAAAAATAGGAAAAATCTAACACAATCCACTATTTTATACAATCAGTTACAAAGAAAAAGCTATTAAAAAAGATAATATTATCTCAAACAACTTAGAGACCTGACTTGTTAAGTCAAGCAATGTTACCTGAATACTAAATGTCTTCCCAGTACCTCCTTCCTTTATTAGTTGGAAGACGCTGACATTAATTTTTCTCCATCTAACCTGAAAACCAGTGTAATCCAAATAGTAGCCATAGAGTTTGCAAGACTTGCTTGAACTGTAGGATGTTTTCCAGTTTCCTTTCATGTGAAGGTCAACTGGGAAGTTCAAGGGTTCTCCATAAGCTACATTTTCATATCTCTTACTTGGACAATCTAAATGACAAAAATAATAATGCATCACATTACATAATAATAATATTACATCTATATGCAAAAATAACTGCAACTACCATAATGAGGTTAATTGATAGCTTTTTCTTTGCAAACAGTATGCAATTCTTTGTTTCTAAGATTTAAGCTATACACTTTCACCTGTTAAAGTTTGTCATAAAGGTGTGACAAACACCTATTACATCCTATTTAAGTTAAAAGAAACTTTTCGAATTTTTCAGTTGTATAGTCAGTGGTCATATGTCAAAATGCCTATATTGACTGGGTCAGGTCAGGCTGGACAGGAATATACTTGGCTCTTGTTCATGATGCATAGACCTTGCTGAACTTGATCCATGTCATGACCTGGAGCCAAATGTTTTCCTAGCACTCCCCCACTCAGTCAATTAGAACATATTTTAACTGCAGATAAATAAATGAAGTTGAGAGTGCTCATCACAGAAATAATACAACTCTTCAAGATATCGTCAACTCTGGTTGAGAAGAGGATCATGCAAGGTTAATAATAACTGATATGGCGTCTGGATGAAATGTGCACCCAGTTTCAGAGTGCTTCTGGACTGAAGCATGTCAAAATCGCAATAATCCTTCTTCCTAAATTAAAACCCACCCCAACCCTCACCCACGACGAAAACGTAGTAAGGACAGGCTAGGCTTAATTAATTGACTTTGCAATCACCTGTAAAATTTGCTGGCAATGTCTTTCTGCTTATACAAAATCTCAACGACGGAATAAAAGTAGAATTGTCCGACGAACAGGCACAAACACAGGGGCTTTGAAACCATAACGTTGGTTGATGAAATGCATTTAACGAGCTGCAGCTCACACACCGACTACCACTTGTCATGTCTACAACAAAGAGGTCGGGATGGTTGCCTTTCCTCCTCTCCACATAGTAACTCTTGACGTTTGACTCATCAAGACAAGATACGGTGAGACCAAAACCCAGGAGGACCAGGAAAAAAAAACACTTTGGCTTCATCAGGCTGTGAAGAATCTTTCGCTGCGTGTACTGAAGTCGATCAAAGCGCACAGGACGAGCAATCAATCTGCTATCAAGTAGACCCTGCTTCGAACAAAATCACCGTATGCTTGTTTCCTTTAAGAGACCCTTGCTTGATTCTTACATCGACGTTTGCTGACAATTTTAAATCTCTCCAAGAAACTGAAAGCTGATTTTCAAATAACTTCCGCGATTCCACTCATCTTCATCGAAAATAACTTCAGATCACTTGTCCCGTGATGACGTCTGGGAATAAATTCGGTGTTTGATCTCGTCACGCAACGGTCTCTCCTCCATCGTGACGAAACCAAACAACGGCTGCGAATGAGACTTCATTCTCTTTCTGACACACAATTGAAAAGAGTACTCTATAACAAATTGTCGAAACGAATATTTGTCTGTTAAGACCGACAAGAAACCCCAATTACTGAAAAGATCGCACTGGTTCACGAAGCTTGACAAAAACAAGAGGTCCAGATCTTTCCTAAACTAATGCTGGATGTCACTTTATTTCATTTTGATAAAATTTTTTCATTTTTTTGTAGAAGGTTCACATTAAATGAAAGCAGCGCGTCTGGGAACTTACATTCAAAAACCAAGGAATAAAATGACAAGAAATAAAAAAAATTACTGATTGATTGAAGGTCTGCCAGTCAGGACTGTTTCGCGTATTACATGTGTATTAGACTCTTAGACTGGACACATATAAGGTAAATTACCCCATTACAACTGTATATGTAGTTATAAGCAGTTAGCCTCCACTTTAATTTTCTCTGGTGAACGCGTGTTATCCCCTTATTTAACAAGTATCGTTTACTTCCAGTTGAGCTACAAGAATACACTTCCGCATTGAAGGT